TTCAGGTCAATAGGGGCGACAACAAGGAACTTATGTGTGTAGATCGCGAAGCACGTGGAATATTTGGAACCCCTGATTACGTCCAACCCTTACATGCTGACTGCAACACCTTCAGTTGTCCACCATACACGGACAGAGAACGACTACCCTGTGTTGTGTGCTCCATGTAATCTCAACGTAATAAACGTGGTAATCGTACCAAAAAAGGAATAGCCGACTTTTGATATTTCTTAATCATTGACCATGCACACAAGGAATTGCAGACGAGGCTGCGGGGAAATAAAAGAATAAATCAAGATTATCCATTGTTTTCCAGGAGCCGCGTGTGCGTTCTTTTGTACATAGTCATCGAATCAAAATATCTAAAGTTGATTATTGATATTTTATCACAGAATAAGCACTTTAGCACACAGATTGSTATACGTTATTACTTACAAGAAAACAAGGACAAGTCTACTTCGAATTTTTAGGCTGAAATGGGTATTATGTAAAGGGTGGTTTAAATGAAAACTTCAGGCGGACTTTTAAATTTTATGTTCTTATACGCGGGTTTTTACTTTACCTATAATACTTGAGTTGAATGTTATAAACGGCGTCATACCCAATGTACAATGTATAGGAACTCGCTTAGTAAGTAAAGCTTAGATGTTTTAGGGGCCGGAAATGGCGTCGATTTCATTTTCACATATAGTCGACAAATGCAAGTTAGATAYCCTTCATGCAACTGCAATACTATTGTTTAGCCTTTTCGACACGCCCGTGTATATTATACGGGTAGGGCATCAATAGATACTTTAAATACTTCAATTACCGTTCTACCTTTTTCGCCCTTATTCCCAAATTATTATGCGAAAAACCGCGACYTGATCAGGTGTTGTTAGCATGTAAATCATAAGTGGAAAAACCGYTTGTAAATATAAACAGATGTAAACGCCGTAAGTAGAATAAAAACCAATTAATGTTAGTTATTTATAGTGCTCAGAGTTCGCAGTCCTATTGGTGAMAAACCTGGTTCCAGAGGTTTTCTCTTCTTTGCTTGACGTTTTTTTCTCTCTTCTTCTTTTTGCGTCATTTATAAATTTAAAAAACAAAGACAAAAATACGTTTATAAGTACTAAAAAAAATCTAGAAAAGAAGAGAAAACTTCTGCAACCAGGGTAAGTTTGAAACCAACCAGGGTACGTCAACTATCGTTGAGTCTCTTATCGTCTAAGATCCACTATTTCTCCATTGCTTCAATAAGCACTGACCAGCAACCATAGAGTCGTCCCCGGTCCCTCGGTAGAATGCGTTACAAGCTTGAGATCGAGACCCAGGTGGCTTTGTAGATTTGTAGGTGGTGAAGTAACATTGCAGCTATCCCACAAAGTCATCTTGGTTAATAAAATGCAGAAATGTTCCGCAATCCAATTGCACAGTGACTAAAAATAACTTAAAAACGGATGAACTTCAAAAATTTCATTGACAAATTACGAATATTCCACAAATGACAATATTAAAATTCTTGAAATTAGTGACACCCAAATATGTTCCTGTAGAACTCTAATATCCGATTTGCGGAATTTGTACACGGACTATTTTGGGCAGATCTCATTTAGGTTTCTTGCGATGTATAACCGTGCTATTTTACATCAAAACAAAGTGCTCACAATCCGTTCGCGATTGTTTTTTTAAAGCATATTCTCTAGTCTGTGCTAATGTTATGACTATAGGGTTGACCAGGGTTGAATTGTCAAGCGACAATATTCGCGTCCTAGCTTGTTGTAAACAGCCCTGTGATTGTTTGTTGAAGTTCAGTGCAGCTGAATTTTCAAGTTGATTTCGAAACTCTAACGCATCGTGCTGAAACTGGAAGGTGTAGTAAACGTGCCTTAAAAATTATTTTGATGTCTTAACATTTGATAACATTTCAGGAGCAATTTCGTAAATCTCAGACACACCGACAGATTGTATGATTATGGAAATTAGATTGATATTGATTGAACTGCAAATGAGTCAATAATAAAAGTCAACGTTTTAATTGGTTAAGAAAACAGTTGTATCAGTCTTGTTAGCTGCNTGTAATATTGCTAAATATTACATTTAAAATTATCGTATTTGGTATCGACTAGCTATCGAGCTAGTACGATTATAACTATATGAATTGGAAATACATATTGTTTATCTCGGATACGCTTGTTTGGCACACCTCCTACGCTTGGCTTTTCCTTGATATTTCCTGGCATGAACGATATAGATCTGGACAAATATCGTAAATTATTGATCAAGCATCATGTTTGCAGTATTAATGAAGTAAAAGTTTTATCAAGGAAAATAGGTTTAAATAACATAAAGACTTCTCATCAGTATCAGTAAAATAACACAATAATAGGACTAGTTCTTAAGTATCGATCTATGTACGATAACAAGTTCAGTTAAGAACATATTAGGATTTTGACTTATGGCCAAATGCCTTGTTATGTAAATGTAATCTTAACATATTCAGATACATGGAACAGTATAAATAGGATCAGTTATCCTAGTTCAGGACTCTTACTCGCTCTTACTCTTACGCTCACGGACTCAGAGACACTGTTAGTTACTGAGAGTCTCTCAGGCTCGCTCGCTCAGTTAACTCAAAGATATAGATGTAAAGAACCTTGATACAAGTACCAGCAATAAAGAGAGTTTGTGCCTAACCTGACGTTGTACACGGAGTATCTCTCGTACAGCTACAGGCGTGTAGCTCAAGTCACCCCAACCCAAAAGATCTCATTTTACACTATCCCACAAAGTCATCTTGGTTAATAAAATGCAGAAATGTTCCGCAATCCAATTGCACAGTGACTAAAAATAACTTAAAAACGGGTGAACTTCAAAAATTTCATTAACAAATTACGAATATTCCACAAATGACAAAATTAAAATTCTTGAAATTAGTGACACCCAAATATGTCCCTTTAGAACTCTAATATCCGATTTGCAGAAATTGTACACGGACTATTTTGGGCAGATCTCATTTAGGTTTCTTGCGATGTAATCGTGCTATTTTACATCAAAGCAAAGTGCTCACAATCCGTTCGATTGTTTGTAAACATATTCTCTAGTCTGTGCTAATGTTATGACTATAGGGTTGACCAGGGTTGAATTGTCAAGCGACAATATTCGCGTCACAGCTTGTTGTAAACAGCCCTGCGATTGTTGAACTAGTTCAGTATAGCTGAATTTTCAAGTTGATTTCGAAACTCGAATGCATCGCGCTGAAACTGGCAGGTGTAGTAAACGTGCCTTAAAAATTATTTTGATGTCTTAACATTTGATAACACTTCAGGAGCAATTTCGTAAATCTCAGACACACCGACAGATTGTATGATTATGGAAATTAGATTGAKATTGATTGAACTGCAAATGAGTCAATAATAAAAGTGAACGTTTTAATTGGTTAAGAAAACAGTTGTATCAGTCTTGTTAGCTGCATKAATATTTCAGTGATAAAATACCAGCAAACCCCAAGAGGTCAAAACTTGGAACTTGGATATSAAACTGGACATTGGGCTTAAAACATTTTATTGATATCAGTTAATACCTCTTAAATAACATGACTTTCAAACGTCTTTTAAACATACGTCATATAGTTGATGGGGTCCAGTATCTTAACTTGCTTGACACACCTTTCATWTTATGGTCATCATTACGTAATATTTTATTATGTAAGACATTGTTGGCATTTAGTTCAGACGTTTTTTAAAGTTTGATGATCCAAAAGAGTTATAATTATAAAGTAATATTACTGCTAGGTCACAAGAAAAACCCTTAGATTAGACTATACTCCAAAAGAGCGCGGATCAGTGGTAACTTACTGAAACACGAGTATTACATCGAAATGAATCGCGTTTTGGTAGTTCTCGTTAATATTGGTACCTTTTCTGTCGTTGTTTTTGGTTCTCAGTTCGAAATGTCATCACGTTTTGWTCGCCTGGAAGGTAACGTAAAATTGATGGTATAGAAATAGAGGATATTATATGTGCKCGCGRAGATAGGGATTTTATCTTCGAATGCTGAAAAGATCTCTCGGCACAAGTGAGAAATTTTCAATAAGCTTCAATACGACAAGCGACCATGTAATATTCTGCTTATCATAATTATCAGTGAAAGCAAATTATGTTTTAAAATAGCTTTTATTTACGTCCAATATATATATATAGAGGGATACTATGAATGTGGTATTTTCAATAGTAAAAATTACAACGTTACGCAATGAAGAAAAACA